GATGACAGAGGACAAGATGGTTGGACAGTGTCATCAAAGTGACCAACATGAATTTGACACAACTCCGGGAGTCAGAGGAAGACAGGAAGGCCTGGCGTGCTCTGGTCCATGGGGTCACGAAGAGTTGGACATGACTTAACAACTAAACAACAACAACTGAAAGATAAGACAAAAAGCATGAACTCAGTGCAACGTACAGTGGTGCCCCGCTTAACCATTACCCTGTTTAACGACAAAATCGCTTCACAACAATGTTTTTGCTATTGCAAAACGATGTTTCAAAGGGCTTTTTTCACTTCCTGACGATCAGGAAACAGCTGATGGTTTCAAAATGGCTCCCCGCTGTGCTTAGGACGGATTCCTCGCATTACAGGCACCACGAAATGGCTACCCTATGGAGGATCTTTGCTGGACGCTGAGGTATTTAGCCCTTTGGAACGCATTGAGCGGTTTTCAGTGCATTTCAATGGGCTTTTTACTTTCGCTTGACGACAATTTCATTCTACAGCTATTTCACTGGAACAGATTAACATTGTCAAGCGAGGCACCACTGTACAGTAAACATACATACCATGTTTCTCCGAAAATAAGACAGGGTCTTACATTAAATTTTCCTCCAAGGGCTTATTTTCAGGGGATTTTTTTTTCATGTACAACAATCTGCATTCATTCAAATACAGTCATGTCATCTTCTTCTGGTTGCTGCACAGTGGTGGAAGGTGGGGTTTAACTTATCTGGGGCTTATTTTTGGGGTAGGTCTTATATTACCAGCATCCTGAAAAATCATACTAGGGCTTATCTTGGGGAAAACAGTAGTATTGCACTGGAAATGTACAGAATATGCTAAAATGGTTACTAATGTGAAAAGAAACAATTTGGAAAATCTGTCCATTGCAAAGTTACTGAAATTGATTGTACTTTAATTTTGCAATTTAGGAGGAGAATGCTGATAGAAGAGTATTAAGAGTCTCTCAAAGAGCCACACGGAAAAGGAAAAGAGACATGACAATTTTAAAACAGAGTAAGTTTGTATGTTACTGCCTCTCATCATAAAGTTTTCATGACTTTCTCGAAGAGAACCTTTGCCTATGTGATGACATCAAAAGTCCCATCCTCTATACTCCGGAGTTTTTCGAAGAACTGCACCCCCACAGAAGATGTTAACAGAGAAAGGGTTTACCCTTTTGGGAAAACCAAACAATTTGAAAATGGCATGCAAGATTCTTTCCCCTACAAAAAAACAATGATAAGCACGGTAATCAGTATGGAACTCATGGCCATTTTTTAACCTGGCTGTTGGATTTTAGCTTTTCCTTTCTAAATGTAAATAGATTCACTTCTGCAGTGTGTATTCAAAAGGGAACCATACTGGTACCTGTTCCCTGACAAATGGATGTGTATAATAACATGTGTTTGTAAAGTTTACATTACAAAAGGTTGGTGCTTCGCTTTAGTAATAGAAATGATCTGTCCTTTATTTCTTGTATGATACTTCTTATCATACAGGGTTATTGCCTTATTTTCAGTCAGTATTATAAATACTAGTATATTTGTGATGCTGCCTGCAATTACGATTCTGTATTTTATATAGGAAAGGACTGGGGAGCATCATCCTAATAACTATTTTCATTTTCTTTCTTTTCTGAATAACTTCCTTTATACTCAGGCTGTTATACCACAAGGGAGGTTTTAAAAAGGCATATAAAACAGATTAAGATAATTGTATAGTTTAAATGGATGTCTATTTTGCATATATGAGATTTTTCAAATATTTTTTTCAGAGTATGCATTTTAAAAGCAGGTTTATACTTCTGCTTAATGTTCCCCAGGGAGTAACATAAACTCTAAACCACATGCCAAAAGTTAAGATAGATTTATAGAAACCAGTCGTAAAAAGTTCTAAGGAGACACCTAACATAGGAGAAAACCATCACCGCAGAGTAAGATTGCTAGCAAAGTGGATTATATATTTTAAGAAAACAACAGGATAAGGATGTACTTGTCAACTGCACTGTTCTCTGCAGTATGAACTGTAATTTTTGCTGTGGGAACAACCATTCATCTCTCCTTACTGATAATCTAATAGAGAGCAGGATGTAGCTTTCCTCTTTACTATAGTAAAACTGAGATCAGTGATAAATCCAAAGAGCACAGAATGATAGTGTGAGTTTAGTTAGTGCAGCTAGTAGCACACATTGTTCTATAATATAATAGCTAATGTATCTGCAAAGTTGTAATTCAGTTGTACTCTCTAATTGCTTTAAATTCTTTCATGTCTGATTCCAGCTTTAATGTCCAAAGGAAAGAAAGCATGGAGTTGGTCTTCATATTTGGACGAAGAGAAGGCTATAGCAGCACCTTCAAAGATTTTTAAAGAGGTATGCCTTTTTCTTGCTAACAGATTGCTTCTTAAAAGTAGTCTAGGTCATGTGTTTCTCTAAATAAAAGATAGTGGGGGGGGGAATTGACACAGTTGTTTTGTTCCTCCTGTGCACCTTGGATTGGCAAGTCATTTTTCAGCCATTCTTTTGGATTCCATACACCCGCTAGTGGAGAGCAAGAATGTGAAGCTCCTTTCTGTTTCCTGTCCTCCATCACAATATTTTGCTCACACATTTTTTTCTCACTTGCTGTTTCCCAATTTAAAATAAAAAGCCTTCTTCCTTCCTTCTGTTCCTCCTTCTTATCCCTTCAAACTACCCAACAGAGTCTGGACACAAGGACAGCTCAAGGCTTTCAACAGAAGCTTTGATACTCAGGAGACACAGCTTGGCCACAGGCACTGCAGAGGTCATGTTAACTAGGGAAGGGATGACCTGTTCCCATAGACAGGAGGAAGATTGAAAAACAGAATTGCATCAGGCAGAGCCCCTGACCCTTACTTGCCATCAAGGATGGTGTAAGGAGGTTAATTACAGAGTGAGACAGACTCCCACCATCACTGATCCAACCCATTGTAGTTGGGCAGTCCCTCTACCCAGAATTCAGCAGTGGTATTAGAATAATTTTAAAGAAAGAAATGGTGGCAGCCTCATCCTCACAGTGCCCAGAAACTGGAAGAAAAAGGGGTGTGAAAAACACATGTAACGGGAGAAGGTGTTGTACTATTCCACCACACTGAGCTAGGGGAAGGTCTTAAGAGTGTCCTTCTACCAGATGCTGTCTTGATTATGACATACATGCATGCATGCAAGGCCTGGTAAAAAGACAAGTGTTATTTTGAAGCATGCAGAGGGTATCCCATGTGGGATCATGTGCCCCTCCTGCCCTTTGAAATATCTAACATCTAAAATAGTGGTTCTTAACGTGGGTGATAATGCCCCCCAGGGGGCGATTTCATTTTTTAGGGGGGCAGTAGAACGAAAAGGGGCGGTAGGGGGGCGCTGGAGCAGAAGGGGGACGGTAGGGGGGTGCTGGAGCAAGCCAAACCTGTGAAGATGGCTACAGCCTTTTTACAGTGTGCATCAATATATATTTTCCTCCAATCTTAATTTAGTTTCAGAGTTTT